CAATAAGAAATACTATGTAAACTTCAATGTACATAAAATATGGGGCCTAACGTTTATAATGTTGGAAACATTATGTTAGGATACTTAATATATTAAGTTTATTCATTACTGTAGAAGGCAATTTTTGCGTGTCCTCAAGAAATCAACCAGAATGAACCTGTGAGACTGGTTTCTCACTTCAAGATTCTTATCCCAGATTTCAGATTGCAACAAGAAAACATGCTTTTACGCTGAATTCTTTTGAAATTCTCGGACACGAAATTCTGGAACAGATTTCGTAGTTATGCCAAAACGAATAAATTTCGAAATTAATCGATGGTGGCTATGTAATGAATTGGCTATCTTCAGGTGCTATCTTTAAATAAATTCACGATTGATCTTAAATTCCCCAATGATTCCTGCGCCGGAAATATTCTCGCAGTCGATCTCATTACCGTTTCCCATTACGAGTTCCTTTTCATTTCACGATCCCATTAATTCCTCCGAATTTGCCTTTTTATGAAATACTTCATATCCAATTCTTTTTGGCCTTATCGAGCATCCGAGGGAACGACCTGCTTCCATGCTCCTTTTCGCAACGCAACCTTGGCTCTTGGGAGTTCGATTAACTCGTTTCGCCCAGCAGTGGGCCAGGCGCGCGCGAGCCTCACCCGCCGGGCGGGGCGGGGGGTTCTGGCCGTTTGCGCAACGGAACGACGCCAGCGTCCGCGACGTTTCAGCCGTCCACCGCCGCCTCCGCGCCGCCGCCGCAGTTCACTGCCCCCGCGCCGCGGCACCCGTCGCCCGCCCGCCCGCCGCTGTCTGCCGCGCCGCTCCGTCGCTCGACGATCGATCGGCGGACGATCGCCCGGCCCCGCAGCGCGATACACTCTATGCCCTCGTGTGCTGGCTGGGTAATCGGGGGATATTACGCTCAACTTCTAACTTTATCACAGAAACGAAAGGTTATCTTCTTGGAAACAATGTCCGTGTTGCAGGTAGGCGATCACAAGCGTAATGTGGGGCTTCGGTAATTTATCCCTGCGGACTAGAAAGATCCTGATTAGAAATATAAGGAGTAAATTCAAATTTTGCAAGAGCCCAGAAAACAAAAGTAATTAATTCCTACGTGTATTGAAGACAAAAAGTAGGTTGTGGGGCGAAGCTATAGTACATTTGAAGGGCTTGGGGCAGTAAAACGATATGCCATACCAGTCACTCCATTCGTTTGTGTTATCTATGTATGTATGTATATTAGTAAATGTTAATATCTCGATTTTAGTGAAAGTGAGGCTGATATTGTTACCATACTTTGTCTTGTTCACAATTGTGATGAGTTTGTGACAGTAACAAGATGATACATGCTTCTGTCCAGATCAAAATATTTTCAAATCAGTATTTTCATGCTGCAGTGGGTGAGGCATATTTTGACACTGCCTTAATTTTAATTAAAAAATATTGTATATATTTAGATTTATATTTCCGATTTTATGGCTTTGCTGATTGTTCCTATGTCGATTAAGTATATGCAGTAGATTATGACTTCGTGAATCTAATTACAAGTTTTCAGCTCTGAAAACTGTTATTTTACCATAATTATTTACGAACATTTACTCCAATAATTGTGAACCTCCACTTATGGTTCATAATATTGGTTGTATATAATCGTATTACGTTGCCAAAAGTGTTGTAAAGTAATAAAACAGCTAAAGGGATGTGATAAATAAAATCTTTATTTCTTTGTTTTTATTTTCCCATTTTTACTTGTCTGTGCATCGTGTTCCCAGGAATGCAATTATCTTCAGTTGAAAAAGAAAGGAATTTCTTTTTTGAACCTAAAAAGATCGATATTGTTCAATGGGAGCCTGACTTCACAAAGGCAGTCGTTACCCTGGAATTACGAGGATCACTTGTTTTTAAACACCAGGTCTCGAAAAGCAAAATAATATCGCTTGAGTTCCAACCGTCACCGGACGTCAACAGCCCGCCAATCGTCCCAGCGCTGTGACCACTGTCAGCGGCACACCCGACCGGTCCGGAGGCCGCGCTCGTTATTTTTATCCGTCCCCGCTGAGAAAAAGACGCGTCCCCGCCGGCATCCCGTCCTGCCGTCTCGTCGCTCTTTCGTGGAACTGGAAAGCGAGGAGCCCGATGCCATTCCCGGCCAGCCCGCCGCGCCCGCGTGACTCGCACGCGGCGGCCGCTAAAAACGCGCTGCCCGCCGGCCGGCCCTTTAAGCGCGACGTGCCCCGCTGAGGGCGCCTTCAATTAGACGGGCCGCGCCGCGCCGCGCCGCAGACCCATATTAGCACTCGCGCGGCATCCGAGCCAGCAGTTGCCCTCGTCGACTGGAGAACCGCCTTGCGCGGTGCGCTGCAGGGGCTGCGCGTATTTGCGAAATGTACTGAAGGGGCTGTGATATTGATCTTGACCTCGTACTATAAATGTATGTGGGAAATCGTGAGGGTAGGTCAATAAAATTTAGTTTATTTTACATAGCACTGTCTCCGTTGTTGTACTGTTAAAAAAGAGACTTTTATTGACCTACCCTCACTATTCTGTACATACATTAATATAGTTGTGACTTATTGTGAAGATAATATTTGTGGCGAAAGGGTAGAAAATGAATGTCACAGTTTGTTTGCTGTTTTCCTTCCTCGACAGCTCTATCCACTCCAGCCTACTTGGCGTAACCAAGTGACCTAAAACGACGGTTTCGAGTAATACATAAAAAGTTGAGTGGAAAAATTCTCGTCGCGGTCCCTGAAACTATGGAGTCACGAAAGGGCACAAAGGAAAAAGAAGCTTGCAGAGGCTTAGTTGTCTAAAAAAGTTATTTTTTTCTTCATTTCTTGCCACGTCTAAGGCATGTACCGATCTCTCTATGTCTTCCTCAGCCTTCACTCACTACTTTTACTGGATTGTATTCCGATACTTGTTTAGGTATGCTTTGTTTATCTTTTATTGTGCAGATTTCTGCTCCGTGTAGTAAATTGCAGGCTGTTATGACCTTGTATCTTTTACGTTTGATGTATTGTACTTCCGTACATGTTCTTCTGATTGTACTACATATTTCTTTTTTAAATATTATTTTTGGCGTTTAACCTTACCTTCTTCAAATGGCATGTCACAACGTAGGTATTGGAAAAGATATACGTGCTTAAATGGCTTTTGTTTGTAGAATGAAAATCCTTAGTTTTAGTTGTAGTTTTAGCCTTCGCCTATTGTTTCTTTGTGTTGTAAGTCCGCGATGCGCCTCTCGCGCAGAGTTGCGAACACGCATGTCCGCGCCCTCCTCCGGGAGCCTCGTAACAGCAGGAGCGCAGCCGCTTTCTCCGCTTGCGGAGCAGCTGGAATTAGAGCCGCCCGGACCACTCGACCACTGGGCCACCGGACCACCGCTGCCGCAGCCCGCGGCCTCGCCGCGCCGCGCCCATCGCCGCCCAGCGCCTCCGCCGATTTCGCCGCGCCGTCTCCTACCGCTGGCGTCGCAGCAGACGCGGCTATTGTCTGCCTTCCTTTGCTTCGCTTGCCTTTGCTACCAGTTCCTTTTCAGCTTTTTGTATACTGTTAGTTCGAATGGCGGGACCTAACCCAATGCATACACGTTTTTTACTTGTTTTAATTGACTGGTGGAAGTATTGCCAGAAATTTCTCCACCGATCGTGATATCCAGTGTGGCTTTCTCTAACTTGTGTGGATCTCGTAGGTAGTACTCGTACTTTCCCTAATACCGCTTTACTTCCGTTTGTAAGTGTCGAGTGCTGGTTTGTTTCTTATTTTTACATTGAATTATTTTTCTTCGTTTCAAAGGGAATGCATTCAAAGAGAGTCACATTACGGTCCCTTTAAGAAATTGTGTTTTGTATAGTAATGATCTACTTATCATCCTGACGGTATTTAGCTAAGGACACCATTAGGGAAAAATTATCATTATGTCGAACTATCCGACAATCTTCAGTTACTACTTATAATGCAGAATTAACCACAGAAAACAGTAAAGTTCATGATTCATTAATCTTTTTCGGCGGCTGCGCTCACAGTATTCACAGCATTCCGTATATAAAATACAAACTACTGAGTAATGTCAATTTTATATCTACGGTATTTTTTACGTGCGTTATCTGATTATTAGTATGCCATAAGTATACAAAGAAATTGTCTTTGCTTTTGAAAGATATAGAACAATGTTAATTTGTTTGTATTATTTTTAACACACACACACACACACACACACACATATATATATATATATATATATATATATACTATATATAAGGTAGCATCTTTTGTTATAAAAATTAAAAAGACATACATCTTTTTTAAAATTATACATATTTTCGTTGAACGTCTAAGCCTTACTTTTTCTCTGGGTAATTCAATTCTAAGTTTGTTAATAATTCAACTTTTGGACACAGATAACAGAGATAAATGAAGAAATGAATCAGTTGGACAGCTATAGTTATGGTGATGAAGCAATGCCAAGAGAAATGGGATGAAGCCTGAACACTTGCCGTACTGAAATTCTTGCATCTCTTAACAGAATTCGATCGTGTTTCCCATTAAATCACTAGACCAGTGATTTGCCTGTTGTAGTATTCAGAGTCGTTGGTCGGGGCCAGCAGTAATTTTGGCAGTATGTGATTTGGAGGAAGATATAAGAAAAGATTCCTCAGCTGACAACATCAGACATGCCGATTGCTCAGCCATCACCTGTTCATAACGTGCTATCGAAATCTTCATCACCACTCTCCTCCTCTGAAAACCGCCGCCCCGCGCCGTTAGCTCGTTGCCCCGGGCCAACCGCGTGCTTCCTGTGCCTCGGCCCGCCCCGCCCCCCGCTGCGCGGGCCGTTGTTCACCCGAGGCGGACTGCCAGGTTCGGTTCCGCCCGCCGCCCCGCGGCCCCTGCCTCTCCCCGCCCCCCGCCGAACCGCCGGCCCGCCCACGGCGAGGCCTTCGCGCCTCCGCCGTTACTATTAAGCGCGTGCGCGGGCCGCCCGCCAGTCGTCCTTCGCAGCCATGGCGGGGACACGTGTGCGTGCGCGCGGCGCCGTCCGCACGGTGGGTATACGTCGCACGCACTTCCGCTCCTCTAGGCTCCACGCTTCGAGCTGGGGGTTGCCTTTCGAAGGCTGCCCTTTCGGGCTAGGGTTGCCTTTCGGAGACATCGCTCTTCGGGCTGAGGTTGCCTCTCGGGGACTCGCATTTAAGACTGGGGTTTTGGGGATTCGCTCTTCGGACTGGGGTTGCCTTTCACAGACTTCTCTCTTTGGACTGGCGTTGCCTTTCGGACACTGCGCCCCCTGTGGATGGGCTTGCTTTTCACGGACTTCGTGCTGGGATTCCCTTTCGGAAACTCCGTTCTTTGAGCTGCGGTTGCCTTTCGGACACTTCGTTCTTCGGACTGGGGTTGCCTTTCGGAGCCTTCACTCTTCAGGCTCTTGCATTACATATTCATGACGGGTTTTTCTAAATGCAATGTTTATCTACCCACAAATATGTTTATAATTTTATGCGTATTGGTTCGTTGGATATTTTATTTTCGCTATTAAATATGATTCTTGGGCATTTCAAAGGTGTTTCTTCAGAAATAAATAAATTACGCTGTTGCTCTAAATTAGTAGAAGACATTATTTGCATTTTATGCGGAAGAAGTTTTGAAAACGAAACGGGAATTTTCGTTGGACAGTTTTACATGTATTACAGTGTTTATATACATTCCAGTAAAAGTACCATTCTTTCTTTCCAAACATTTATTAATTATTTTATAAAAATCTGCAATAATATATTTATTTTTAACGATTGTCTTCAAATAAATTAGTGACGAAAATGTGTTTCATTAATTTATACGTAAATTACAAATAGGTAAGGAATATTGTTGGCATTTTCATTACAAACTTCATTGAGCAACATATTTTAAACCTATGTGAGCGTTAATGGAAAAATATTTTTATGTTTGCTACATTTCTGTTTGCAAAACACGATGGTTTTCTAGAGATTCAATAGAGTTTCAGGAAGGGTGGTTAGCGATTTTTAGATGGTTTTCTTGTGGACCAGAGGTACAATCTCCCAACTCTCACAGGTATTGGGCGTCTACGCGCGAAATAGTGTTTTGTGTATGGTGTGTGTATGCGTGTTTAGAAGTTATTATATTTGAGACATCGCGAATGTTTTGTCTGATGAATTTTAGAGTTTGGTTTCAAGCATAAAAAAATTAAATTACCGCTTCATTTATTGAGAAAACGTATTGCAATTTCGATTCCAAGAAATTGAAAACACTTTCCATTACTTTTAAATTCCATACCCTGTCAATCATTGCCGTAGGCTGCTGTGTAAAATACGCAGAGCGCTGGGGTAGCCTTTCACAGACTTCTCTCTTCGAGCTTGGGTTGCCTTTCAGTCACTTCACGTTGGGGGATAGGCTTGCCTTTCACAGACTTCGATTTTCGGACTGGAGTTCCCTTTCGAAGACTTCGCTCTTTGGGCTGCGGTTGTGTTTCGGACATTTCGTTCATCGGACTGGGGTTGCCTTTCGGAGACTTCGCTGGCCAGTTACCAAACTAAAACCACTTAAAATCGCTGGAATTAAAGAATTCGGGATGAGGGTAATGGCGGGTGAACTGAGCGATTTTTTTAAAATATTCAAAAAGGTATATATTTCTTAGGAAATTATTTTAAACAAGTCAGTACGTATGGACGATGCTTATCGTTTAGCAGTATGTGTTATATCGTTAAAGTGTTTTGATCGTTAAAACATGACCTCCAAATTTAAAAACAGGCCAAAGTCCTTTACATATATTAAAAAGAAAACCATGTCATTGCATGATGATATCACAGTACACCTCACAGATTCTTTTGTAACCATGCGACTAAGGAATTTATCTCACAATTATGTTAATTTATTCTTTGTACTAAATAAATTATAACTGTTTTTATAAGTATATTTGAGTGAATGGGACAAGTTATCATTCATATCAGGCATTAACTCAATGAAATATAGAAATTCGCAGGTTATCTCTTGGCTCGGTTCATTAAGAGTTAACCAACATAAGCCTAAATTATATATGAAAAGGCATTACGAAAACACGTTTTGGTCACTCGTTCCTGAATGTCAAAGATCTCAAGGTGTTATTCATGTTATGGACTGATGTAATGACGAAACTGCTCGTAGTAATTCGGCGAAACCTGTTTGGGAGATAGATTGAGGGCATGCATTATCTCTGTTTAGTAAAGGCGGTCAATGTTTCTGTTTTGTTGTTGTGTGACCATTTCAATGCCGGAATTATTATTTTTTTAGATGCTTGATATAAAATGTTTTAATAAATTATTACATTTTTATGTAAATAGAAGCGCAGTAAGACTTAAATTTAATGTTGTAGGAGGAATAAAAGTTGCTCGGTTTTGTGAGTAATTCCTCGCCAATTCAGCGGTATTTGTAGTTATTTTTATTAATTAAAGACAATAAAAATATTTGTGTTTTATCACGCACTTTCCAGTAGACAACAGGATAAGAAAGTCAAAGAAGCAAATTTTGTTTTATTTGTGCTTCCTTAACACAACTTCAGGCAGTATAACATTCTCCTTGTACATTATCCAACTAGATTGTTTATGTAATAGACTACTAAGGCCACTGCACTTTTGCATTTCTCCTCTTTGCATTTCAAATAGGTAGTTGGGAATCGCATCTGTGATTCACTTTTTTCTTTCGATATATTTCACTTTTTAATTGCGGTATATTTCAAAAACGGAATAATCCTTCTTACAGTTTGGGAGTTCAGGTAGGGTTAAATAATTTAGAGAGACATTATTAATTACAAATGCTCATTAGCTGAATAAAAATTCTGGCAAGCTTGTTAAAACGCGAATCAAGAAGTTTCACGTTATTTCTAGAATACAATTTCCTAAATAATTGTTTCTCGTAATGATCTGGCATTAAGCAGTAAATATCTTACTTAATTCGCTTAAATATATCAGTAAACATTAACTGTCTAATGTAAAATGCTTGTTTATTTAATAATGTTGCTTTTACGTCTTTCACGCAGAGAGAGCCTCGATGTTAATGCGTGAGAGTGGCTGAAACATATTGCTCAGCTCTTGGCTGGTTATAATAATAACGGCCTGACAATCTTTCCCTGTCGATCCATCTTTTAAAGATAATTGACGTTCTTTCGAAAGTGTGACTCTCGTTTCCTTGATTGAATTTCCCCATAATGATTAATACCCTTTACTTGGTAACGAAGTGATGAATATATTAGCACCGCCGAATGATAAATAAGATTGTCTGGGTAATTTTTTAATACATATTCTAAGAATATTATTTTTAGGTATTCGCAGGACATATCACGTTAAGACAAATTATTCAAACAAAGGATATCATTATGAAAAAGATAGGCTTGTGTACCATTATATTTTGTCTCACTATTATATATCTTCAGCGGCGAAGAAAGCGGCAATAACTTCTGAAATGTGTAAATGATAGACCAGGGCAATGCATATCTAATGAATGTCGTCATCCTACGGAAGTGATTGTTATTCCTTTCAAGGAACGCACGCATCAGTATGTATCACATGAAATTCTCACCGGCATCCCAATGACCTTCCAAAGGAACAATAGACCGATTCACCTGAACAGGCAACGCACGGGGAAAGCAAAACAAACGGTCACACATCTGTGTTCCTGACGCGTAGTTATCAGCGACCCCCCCCCCCTTCCTGCCTACAGCTGCTGCTCCTGCTGACTACCGCGACGGCGAGCGCCCAGTCGCGCTGGCCCCCCCAGCCGCAGCCGCAGCCACAGCCACAGCCGCCGCCTGCATCGTCCCAGCCCTCCGCTGCGGCCCCGGTGGTGGCGTACCGCTTCGCTTACGACGTCCAGAACGCGCAGACGGGCGACACCAAGGGCCAGTTCGAGACGCGGGACGGCGACGTGGTGCGCGGCAGCTACTCGCTCGTGGAGCCCGACGGCAGCCGGCGCATCGTCGAGTACACCGCCGACCCCGTGCGAGGGTTCAACGCCGTGGTGCGGCGGGAGCTGGCATCCGCCGGCCCCTCCGGCCCCGCTTCCGCCCCCGCCTCCGCCCCCGCGCCGCGGTTGTACCCCTCTGCCCCCGCCGCCGTCCCACCTCCGCCCCCGCGGCAGGACCAGAGGAACCACGACGCCCGGGGCGCCGGCCGCGTCCCGCCCTCCGCCCCCACGCCGTTCTACACCGCCCCGCCCCCGCCGCCGCAACCGCAGCCGCAGGCGCTGCGGAACCGCGGCCGCGCCGCCTACGTCGCTCCCGCGGCGAAGAAAGCGGCATATTACGCGGCGGCCGCTGCCGCCCGCGCGCCGACGCCGCCCAGGAAGAAGTACCGCTACCCGAAGGACCTGGAGCTGCAGCTGGCCGCCGCCGGCGTGGGCGCGGACCCGGCCAAGTGGCTGCCGCCCTCCGGCTACCGCTCCTCCAGGGGCTACCTGCTACCCGGCAGCGCCATCGTCACCTCCGGCGCCTTCCTCGACTGACCGTCGCCGCCCCCACGCGGTCCTGCGCGTCCAGTCGTCTCAACTGTTCTCAACGCTGTAGACGAAAGAGTACAATATAGAATAGTATTTAATCATAATGATCGTACGTCATTTGAGACTGGACCCTGGGTCTGTGACCCTTAGAAATGTAAACACTTTTTTATATTGCTTGTATTATTGCAAAAATATTTGAAGAATGCAGGCGACATTCTTACAATATTACCAAAGTTCTTTTGTAAATATATATTTATTTTGTGAGGATTTGTGTATTTTTTATACTTTTGATGTGGAATTAATTTTATAAGATCAGTGACCAATTCTGGTCTCTCGAAGGACAAATTATTACCTTCCCAAAAATATAATCTTAAAAATAGTTTATAATTTTCTCTACAAATATCCAATCTTGCCGAATGTTCTGAAAGGTTTTTATTTAATTTCATTTCACAAAACTCTGGGTGAAAGAACGTATAATTTTCTCCCGCACGTCAACCCATGAAATGTAGGAAAGCTTATTTCACTTTTAAAATATTCTGCATTTGAAATGAAATGTACAGGAAGAAACAATTGAATCATAGGTGCGATTCCCAACTACCCACTTGAAATACAAATAGGAGAAATACAGAAGTATGACAAACATGATCATGCATCAACCTAGAAATGTCTGAAATGGCAACTCTATCGGGTTTCGACTTTATTCGAAGATATATCACTTCAGAGAAATTCAAAGAGTTTTATACCATAAGCATACTAGGATCTAACTTTCAACCCACTGTCTACAGCTTTGTTGATAATATATTTTAAAAATAGCTATGGCATTGACGACAAGTATTAAAAAGAAGAATTATCGTGATCGTATAAAGATGATGCGGACTATAATAGTAATAATAATAATAATAATAATAATAATAATAATAATAATAATGTAATGAACCAGAGTATCTTCAGAAAATCAAGGAAGATCGTGAGAAATGTTGCGTGCAGAGAGTGGTAGATTATACTAATGCAATCATTTCATTTCTCGAAATAGTAATTTGTGACAAAAAAAAAAAAGTAAAACCTTAATAGTATTAGTAGAAATGCCGCATTCACTGTCGAGGTACAAACCCGATCAACTCAACATTTCCTTTCAAGATCACTAAAAAAGTGGACGGATTAAGGCAAGGGTCATTGACCATGGCGCTCGTTGCTTTATTTATTACACCTACTATAATAAAATTTCAATTTAATTATAGTTAAATAAAATGAAATAAAAAATACATTTTTTCTTTCTTATGTTACTTCTTGGAACTTTATTGTCAAACTCAACTAACAGTGTCTGAATTCGACGTTCTATTTACATTAGTTACGAAAACAAATCTGTATTTGCAGAGGCACGTGAACTAATACTACACATTTTGAAACGTTTAGTATGTATTATACAGTGCTTCAAAATGTGTGATGTGTTGGGGGAAGAGGATCGCGAATGGTGGTCATGTCATTCTTTACTCTTCTTTATCATGGTATGTGGATAAATGTTTCACATCTAACAGAGCTGCATTAAAGATTAATTGCTTGAGGTTTATTACCCGAACAATTTACTATAGTTGCGTACACACTGTAATAACACTTTAGTTCCAGTAATTGTTGTTTTTATGGCATGAAGACAGTCTTTATAATCAGAAGAAGACGCAATAACTTTTGACATGACGTGAGAAATGGCCAACTATTGTAAATAAAGAGGCAGAACGGAGGATGCTCTACAATTAATGTAGTAAACAGTTAAACATATTCTTGTGGGCATTCTTGTAAATTATCTAAATAAAAATCATGTGTGTAAGAACATCATGATACTGAAAGAAAAATGTATTTGCGTGACGAATAAAACTTTGGCATTATTTTGCGCGAGAGTAGCAGTAACTAGATGACCCCATAAGAGGTATGCGTCACCAAGACTTGAGATTTCCGTAAATTGTAAGAATTTGTCAGTCGAAGAATTGAGACGACTGGGAATGACATTTGTTGTTCAGTCAGATACTGAAGGTATATTATAAAATTCGTAAAGGCTTTAGCTGTGTGATTAGTAAAGGACGACATGCATAGATGAAAATTAAAATGATACGAAATGACGGAGCGCACAACAAGCAACTACGTGAAGCATGTGGTAATTGCCGTATCGTCAGGTGGTTTGTGGGTGAAAGTGTTTCGAGGTGCCAGAGATTTCAGTCAGGATCGTCCCCATTGGACAACCCCACCATTAATATTATTGTCTTCCTGCATGGATGAACAACGCGTCAGAGCTGGGGAAGCAAATATTTGACACAAACAGGTGTTCCATTTGGTTGTCGTTCGCACATTTGGTTCTCAACCTTACAAGTGGAACGATTCATCAAATGGCGTCAGTGCAGCACTGGCATTGATTTGTATTTCTCACTAATGTCTGTGTCGATATGAGGAGGGTGAATATTTCCTTGAATGGATTATTACAGTGAACGAAATCTAGGACACGTCATAGATGAGTTTGAAACATTACCAAATAAATGAAATGATCCTGGATCTCCTTGTGAAAGATCCTACGCCACTTGCAAGCATTCACTGAATGAATTTTAATCAATATCTACTTTGTGAAAATATTGGTTTTGAAGTAGCCATCATAATGCTGCTTGTTGCTGTACAGCACAAAGAAAGTTCCTAGTGAAAGTGAAGACGGTTTTTCGTGCCGTTTAAAATTCATAAGCTAATTCAACGCTATCTCCTGCAGGCAGACGGTCACTGCTGTTTACAATTGCAGTGCCTTAGAACACCGCCGGGTGCTTCCCGCACTTTAGAGAAAGCTCCTGTCAAGGGCGCTCTTCATCCTTCACGACGATGTGCAGCGTCACACTGCTACTGCTGCAACGGATCTCCTGCGTAACGGCGATGGGGGCTTGAGCCGATACTATCTCTCTTTGAAAACCATCTCTTTGCCTCCGAAATGAACCGCTTCTGAGGGAGCAGTTCAAGACAAGAGAACCCATAGCGCGGTGATTTTCGGGTCATCTGCAGAAATTGATACTCTTGCTGAATGTGACCTTTCCCAGGTGAATGGCAGAAGATCTTAGTCCACATAGATGTGGAGCCATTATCAAAAAATGTAATTATGTTTCCACTATTGATGAATCCAAATTTTCCCCTGTAGTAGTGTTCCGTTTTTCAGGAGATTTTCATATCAGTTACTTATATCGCTCTTTTGTTGTTGTTTTTTTGCTATATTTACTCGTCGCATACTACTCGTCGTAAGTTATGCCATGCCCAAGTACAGTTTCATGTTTTCGGAGCTTAGTTCTTTTTTTATCAAAGGATGAATTAAACATTCTCCTCTACATGGGCATTTAGATTTGGCAGATTATCTGTAAATCACATACTGATAAGGATCTGCGGAGACAAAAAGGTAAATTACCACCGCAGGGGGGGGGGGGGCACCCAACGCAGTTTTTAATTCATGGAAAGCACCGCCTCCGTGGGCGTTGCTGCTGCTGCTGCTGGGGCGACGGCTCGTGTCATTTCCCCAGCCTCGTGCCTCTTTCCCGCGCCGGGCGCGAAGGACGCCGCGACGCGCAGCGCCGCGACGCGCGAAGAAGGGAGCGCGGCGCTGCGGCGGTGGGGTAAGCGCTGCGGGCGGTGCGTCGCTGCGAAGAAAGGCCCTCCTCCGCGACGTGGGCGTTCCCATGTCACAAGAATAAGGGCGGAACATTGCGCATCGCGCAGTAATGCCGTCGCGAAGCGTTCAGGGTACGGACGACGCGTCGGAGGCTTGTGATGGTAGACGCCCAGGGACAGACCTCTCTTGATAGGCGTCTCTCGGGCCGATTGTAAATCTGTCGCGCCGCTATCAGCGTAGTTGAACGCGCATCGGGGAACCCTGCGGTGGGGTTAGATTTGCATCGGCACAAGCCAGGCTCGCGAACACGGCTTGTTCGTGTACAGAGCCCTTCACGTAATTCCTACATGCTGAAGCTCGGCTTGACCAGCCTGAGACGCGTCGATTGTAAAACTGCCTCAATGCGTTGTGCGAGCAATAAAGCGAATAGACACCACTGAGTTTTACAACTGGGCAAACGAAAAGGAATTGTGTCTGTTCACTGAGATAATGTTCTCGTAATTCTATAATACCACAATATTAATACAAATTATAAATTTTGAAACTTCTTTTAGGGGCTTTGATATAACTTGCAAATCAGTGCTAAACTGTTTCACTTTGCGCATTTTGGTTCCACAGAATTGTTACGTTTGTATCAACCTATCATTTTAGGCACGAGTCTCGTGTTTTATCCTTCCCTAATCAGAGGATTCCTTCGCCGCGTTCGAACGCTCTCTAAGCGTTGCATCAAGGACGTTCCCTTTCCGTGTGTCGCCGTCCCTTCCCAAGCGACGAGGAGCCGAGGGCAGGAGGGGTCGGGGGCAGCTTGGCGTTGCGCCACGCGCCGGCGTCGCGACGCCCCCTCGGACGCTCCCCGGTTCCCAGCGACGCGCCCGCGTTCCCACGGCGCCTCCTCGCCGCCGAGAGCCTTCCGCTACTTAAGCGCGAGGGCCTCCCCGGCGCCGCATTACTGACGACGCCCGCGCCCGCGCCCACCGCTGCCCTCCCTCCGATGGCTCCCGCGAAGGTACGTTGGCGCCGCTCAGGGGATGAGCCACTCCGAGGGGGTGTTCATTTGACTGGGAGAACGGTGCGAATAACTAAATAGTGCAAAACGTTTTTGCTTGTTCAAATGGTCCAAAACTTGTAGTTGATTGTAGTACAGGAAACATGTGATTTTTAAGTGCATGACCCTTTCCGAAGGAAGTTGCGGTCCGTGCTTACCAGCTTTTTGTCACAATAAAATTGTATTTAACTTCTAGACGTATTTTGAAGAATATTTTGGACTTTTTAAATTTCGCTTTTTTCACTTTATTATTCGCATATTTTATTTCTGTATGTAGGCGTATGATACGCGGAGTGGATATTTGTTCCCTTTTCGAAACGAGGTAAATTAACCAATTGATGTTGCGGTCATGTCATTACAGATATGTCGGTTAATATTTACGTATTAAATATCTCGAGTTAATGGAGTGTTAGTGCCAACTGTGCCATTATCGTGCTATTTATTTTTCGTTATTTTGTGAATGTATATTATATAGTGCCAGAAGTGCGGAGTGTTGTTTGTGATAATTAAACGGAAACCTAATGGCGAAAGTGATGCGACTCTCTTCTAGAAATTCTGTGATTTTCATCGTGATGTCACATTCGTATCGGTCTCTTCTTTATTGTGAAACCTGCAGCGTTAAAGTGCATTTCTGCGACTCATAAGAGACTCATTGCTTAATTGTAATAGAATGTTAATTCAGCAATTCAGCGGCTTTTTTCTAATCGTAGAAGTTCACATTCCCTGAAAAGACTGCAAATCTGAATTCATTGAATAGTATAGAGAAGTAGTGTAATTGCATGACATTCTCGTTTGTAAAATAATTGAAGAGATGCGATGTAATACCGATAAATAGAGTTTAAATTACAAAGAGTCGCATAACATGAAAAATAATTGTATACTCAGAAACTATCTCAAAGATCTCCGTTCCTTTCAAGGGAACGCAATAACTATTTATTAACATTCAGTATAGACGCATGGATAATTGAGAAAGATGCATAAATTAAACATCTGAATTTGGATATGTTCTTTTGTAGAGATATTGAATGCGTTGGGATGAGAGCAAGAATTTTTATGCAATCGATAATCATGCGTAAATGCACAATTTTAAGAGATTTTTATATTTTTAAATATTCAATTGATTTTTTCTGCTCTGTTCATTGAAAATCGTTTTAGACACGAGATATCTGACTGCGTCAGTATATGTACCTGCTACACATTGGAGCAAGATGAGTTGCCTGCCAGTTAGGGGCAATTGTCAGATTGGTAATATTTCGTTATGAAATTTACCAGCGTTTGATGACTAGCAAAAAAAGATTATCAGTATGGTCTACACGTTTCTGACATTTATTTTGAGGCATCCTGAAAGAGATCCGCTTTGTAAACTGACGCTTTGCCCCTTCGGCCACAGTATCTCCTAGCTGCGGCGGCGGCGCTGCTGCTAGCGCTGTGCGTCTCCGAGGCCCAGCCCGGCGTGCTGCTGGCGCGCCCGGCCGCGCCGGCGCACTACTCCTTCAGCTACGGCGTGAGCGACGCGTCGACGGGCGACGCCAAGGCGCAGCAGGAGACGCGCAGCGGGGGCGTGGTCAAGGGCAGCTACTCGCTCATCGAGCCCGACGGCAGCCGGCGCACCGTGCAGTACTTCGCCGACCCCGTGCACGGCTTCAACGCCGTCGTGCACCGCGAGCCCGCCGTGGCCGCCGCCGCCCCCGTGGCGGTGGCCGTCCCCAAGGCGGTGCTGGCGCCGGCCGCGCCCGTCGCCCTCGCCTACAAGCAGGCGCTGGCGCCGGCGCTCGCCTACAAGCAGGCCTACGTCGTGCCCAAGCTGCCCTACTACCAGCACGCCGCCAGCGCCAGCAGCACCACTGTGTTGGGGCCGCACGCCAGCTACTCTTACTGATTTGGAAGGAGGTTTGCCACGGTTCGAAGGAAGGGCGAGGATGCGTTGGAAAGGGAGAAAGTTACGTGTTTTTTTTTAATGAGAACTTTTTTTGATCGATCTACATCGTTAGAGATATTGTACAGTCCCTCTGGAGTTCCAACTCAGCAAAACACCTGGTAAAATGTACCAACAAACATAAGTTCAATTTAATGCAAGAATGTGCTGTTAGAGTAGCTTTCAAAATTGGCCCAGAAAAAAAAGTACTTGTACAGGATCATTTGTTTAAGAACAACATGACAAACAAGCTGACACACAAACAAGCAGATTCGTGATCATCCTTCTGTGAAAGAACTGACGGTAGTACATTTTCTCTCCTTTTGTAAATTGTACAATATTGTCAATAATAACTTTATTTCATGTGAAATGACATATCACTTTTCTTTCAGGTATTTTGTATTATTTGTAAAAAACTGTTTATGTAAAAATATAGTTTCATAAATACAGTATTTCATCCTTAAGTAGTTGTTTCCTGTCGACGGTTTTAAGATGAATATGTCACGAATAAACAAATGCAAAGTTTTAATTAAATGTGTGAACCAACCCCAGAAGACGGGAGAACGGTTTACATGTTGTTTTAACTGCTAGGTGCATTCTTTTAAGCACTCATACCTTTCTAAAAACATCCTTGCATCGGCGATGCTACTCACAAATCATTGTGACCTTTGAAGAAGCCTGCATTTTGCTTTGAGACCTATGTGTGGCTTCTGAACTGAAATACCCCGGTCCTGTCGTGCAGAGAATTATAGGGCACTAATACCGCACCTTGGAAAGAACCTGTACTTCGCAGCCTTTTCTTCAGAGTTTTTTTTTCTTCTAAAAGTTGTTGTGTACTTTGCCATCGTATATTATATATTTTATTGCAAGTGCCCAATAAAAGTCTGCAAAGCAACCTAAGAAGCGTCTGTAGACGTCTGTGCGTGACATTTTTATTGTTGCTAGTACGCGCGTTCTACTCTCTAGTCTGATCCTTCTCCATCTCTGTGTTCTTGGAACAGGTCTTGTGTTCACTTGCGTCTCGTGTTTGAACCCATTAGAAGAATCTAATGTGTGAAATGAATTCATGGTCTCATATTGTAAGATTAAAATTTAATCTTATCGTCAAAACGAGTAATCAACATTAAGAAATTCATTTAAGAAGAAAACACGAAAGTATTTTATTGAAGTATCATGTGTATCTTTATTGAACATTCCAAAAGTGTAATATAGATTAAGAATTTTCTTCGAATTCAATTGAAATGTATTTTGAGGTTAATGTATTTATTACCAATTTTCGTGCATTTCATAGTTTATTTCAAGGCAACCGACATGATAATGATAATTGCAACCATGTAACCTAGATGTAAATTAATTTGAATTCAAAACGTTGGGGGTGAATTTGAACTTTTTGTTTTGGGTCAAAGTATAATAAGATTCTTCATAGGCTCATACTTTTACATGTATACGTAAGCTTTCGCGGCTCGAATCCATAAATTCTCGGCTATCCCGGAGACGCCGCGTCGTTGGCTGGGGTGCCGACGTTTCGCCTGACATGTCGCAGGCTTCCTCAGGGCAGTGTCATACTTTTCATCTCTTTTCATCTCAAAGGGTGCTTAAGTTAATTGCGGTCGACAAATCGACCACAAATCACTAGTTATTCTCTCAGTTATTCCGATAACAAAACGGATACTTTTCTCCTCACTTATAACACATGGCAGCAGTTTTTTCCAGCAATATCACAGGTGTACAAAGCCCGAAAAATGTTTAAAAAGACATACACTTCAGAATTCACCTTCACGTAATATGTTTCTTCGATCATTAAATACGTTTTTCTACTTTAATACCTTAAGTATAAAAATACCCATCGTTTATGCCGGCTACAACACAAATCCGAAACATTCACCCGTTTAAGTGAGCTTTTTTCTTCCTCGTCCGTGGGAGTGGGCCTGTGCTATTGTGTGCACGTTCTTTACGACAGCATTTCCCCATATTTCCCGGCGTGCGATCGCGCCTGACGTCTATGGGTCGGACGCGCCTCGCCGTCCGGCCAGGAACCACGTGGGCGGCGTGGCGACTTGCCAGCGCCTCGCGTTATGGGTCTCGCGTCGCCTCTACTGGCGATTAACTTCTAATTTGAATCGCTTGCCCGCGATAAATCCGGAACCAGTGCGAAGGCCTCGACTCTTACGACCCGTTGGCCGACGCTTCTTTTGTGTTTCAGAGGTTTCGTATTGAAGCGTGGCTTGAGTTGTGGAGCTCTTAGCGAAGCGCGATAGTGTTTGCAGGTGTTGGACGACCGGTCGGTTGGATTTTGCGAGGTAATAGAGCGAGAAGGCGAATGCGAGTTTTGAGGGAAATGGGAGTCGAACGAATAAAGCGTGGTGAGCAGTGAGAGAGAGAAGTGTAAGATGTCAAATTATAGGTATTTCAATGTCACTAATAACATTGCCTCGTTTGAAAGAAAAAATATAGAATGAATTGAATGAAAAATAGAATGAATTGAAATAAATATAGTATATAAATATGGAATGAATTCATTGTAGGAAATGCAGCGAAATAAGGATGGATAAACAAAGTAGAATAAAACTTTGCCATTGTGTTACTTTAAATGTAATTATTATTACATTTACACACACGCACGCCCATGGCATTTGTGTAGCGCGGAGGAACTGGCGGGCGAGCTGGCGAACGGGTGGGTGAGTGACTGAGCGCGCGGGCCAGCAGGCGGATGGGCGACCGAGCGAGTGGGATGGCAAACGTGTGAGCAAGTGTGAAGGGGAACGGATAGTCGAGCGTGCAGACGAACTCATAGGCGAGCGGACGGGCAAGCGGATAAGTGAACACGCGGGCGAAAGGATAGGCGATCATGCTAGCCGGCGCTTGGGCGGGCGGCGGTTGAGCAAACGGATACTTTTTGATTGATTAGTGATTCCGGAATCATCAACTGCAAAGTTCATTATTCCCGTAAGTGTAGTGTATGTTATCATCATGAAATTGTCTGTTATCTTCCCCCGGTGAATGGTGAGACCCGGCGCCAACGTACCGAGGGCTAGGCGGTGTTTTCCGTAACCAGGTATCTCTCACCAGTGGGGTACCGCCCCTGCGGGGACAAGCTGTAAGCTCTCGATCGGTCTCTCGGTATGTATGGTAGCGTACTGCATGTAAGTGTGTGGGAGTGTTAGTTCAGGAAGTGGAAGGAAAGATCGTGCGCGGTCTGTGGTCCTTTTGTTAGGGTACTGCTCCGGCATTTGTCTGGTGTTGATCGGAGATACCGCGGAAAAATACCGATCAGAATAACCGGCCGCTAAAAATTCCCCTTCAGACAGCCACTGATCTCGATCCATCTAACTAGCTAATATCGAGCATCCTGGCGCCGCCGGGACTGGAAACTAGGACCTCCCTGCCAGAGGCACTACAGTGTCGTGCCACCTGTTCCGGTCAAACGGATATTAGAGCTGGCGGGTGAACCGAGAGAGATGAGTGGAGACCAGGAAGTGGTGAGAGGGCGGGCGAGCGGGCAAGCGAATAGACAGCGAATTGGTGAGCATGCGGGCGAGGAGGGGGGCAAAAATATAAGCGAATGTATAGTGAGCAGTGCGGGAAGGCGGCAGTTGGCGCACTGGTGGCTGGAGGTGCTTTGTCTCTGCTCCAGATAGGCGCCCGTGGGAGCGGTGGAGTTCGCCAAGGCTCCTAGGCGGATGCGTGCCGTCGCTGTTTTTAGAAGATTAATCGCGAATTATGGGCCCTGGCTGCCATAAAGAATGCAGCTCATTTGCTCCACATCGTCGTTAAGTGTCCGGCGAAAAACCTGATATCCTTTTCCCCTCATTTAATAGTGCTATAGGAACAGGATCAGATTCTTAATATTAATGATTAAGATTATGTAAATGGTGATGGTATTCATATGTGACAAATTTGTAGTTTATTAAGACGTCGTCTGTTATCGTAATTGTTCTATAGCATTTAGGTCAAATGGTAACGTGGTTTCATGGTAGCATGAACTCGCCATACGTTTCTTTAAAAGTAATTTGTGCTATTTTTACTTGCAGAGTGTGTACGAACAGACGTACTGCGTTTATTACAGCGGTAACGTGGTATTGGATTTATATACTTATTTTTGGATCTGTAGCAGAAGATATGTTGATGTACGAATATTTGACCATATAAATGTACAAGGGGATTAAGTTATCATGGCAAAATTTCTTTGTGTGGAAATATAGTCCCACATGGTTGAGCCACAAGCAGCGCAGGAGGTGGCTGGAGATAATTATGCGACTTTCGGCGTGGTCGTTGGAGGTTGCTGAGCGCCTGTTGGCGGGACAGTAGTGTCCCCCCGGCGCGTGCCCCGGGGGAAAGCGGGCGTCGGCGTTCGCTGGGAGCCGAGCAGCGGTGCACGGCGCTCCCGATTTGCACCAGCGTCTCACGGGCCGCATATGCAATCGCGCTGTCCCCCCTCCTCCCGCACCTTATGCGACCCGGCGAGGCGACCGCGCCCATTGTCCGCCGGCCGCGGTGTCACCTGAGCGCCCCGCTCCGCCCCGCCTTGCTACCCAGCCCCGCCCCGCCAAGAGCCGGCGACGCTGCGCTGCGCAACGCGCACCTCCATTGGTCGTGCTCCGCTAACGCACTCCTTCGCAAAAGTCTCTCAGCCACACGAGCTCGTCGACTCTGACTCCTACTACCTCACCGGGAGAGGTGGCTCAGGGCATCAACTGATGCCACTGCAGTGCCATTGATTGGAAGGTACTAGGGCTTCACTACCAAAGGAGGCAGGATTTTCGACGATGGCTAGGAAGCTAGGTGCCGGAGGGGTGCCGAACGTGAAAGTATCTAACAACACGAAGAGTGGGTGGCCTTCGAAAACTCGTTGACTTTATTTTTCTGATCTCAACGCTTGTACCGATTGAAGTGCCAAGGTATTTTTACCGCGAACAACTTTTAATCTTTTGTCCACAAATAAATCGGCGAACAGTACCAGTCTG